TTTAGAGACTTCTGCCTCAGAGAGTGGAGAGAAGGATGAAAATGAGTGTATGTTTGCTGGTAAGATGTGTTTGACAATTTGTGGTGTGGTAAATTGTGCACTGAGGTTTATTAACATGTTGTTAGCATGATTAGCATGTTTCTAGGATGATTAGCTTGTTACTAGCATGTTGCTAGCATGATAGATTAGAAATATTAGAGTGGAAGCTTAAATAAGTTTAAATGGATTATAAATAGTACATAGAAGGGAAGCCTAATTGAGTCTAATGGGCATCAATGTGTTTACATTTGAATGTTTGTCAGTTGGAGCTTGAGGAGTCTGCTCATTTGAACATTCCGTCAATGTAAGTTTTTCCCAGTTTTAATCATCATTTTTAGGAAAACCGTAAGTCCGATCAGTTAGAAAAGATATAGCAACCCGAGTCAGACGGGTTTGGGCCGAGTTTGGTGGTTGTAGCTTTAAAAGCCTAGGAGGAGATACACTTTAAAATTTGGTCTCAGAAGAAGAAGTAGTTTAAATAGGATTTCAGTAAGTTGGTTTTTCAAGCCAACTTAATAATGTTTATCCTTTTTGTTTACAGATTGTGACAGTGCCAAAATGAAAATTAGATTTGATGATCTGATGAAAACATTTTTTTTTATTGATCAGGGATTTTGCTTGGAGCTGCCATCTACATTTATTCTCATCATCAATAACTTAGTGAATGGTGTAAAATAATTTCTGTAATATTACTATATTCTCATGTGATATTTTGACTGCAAAATATCAGAGAATAATTTAATTGTATTTTACTTAAAGACCAAATTTATGTAATTACATCTTTTTTTTTTTTTTTTTTTTTGTCAGATCAACTGCCCAAAACTTTATTTCACTGAGAACCTTATTATAACACAGTAAGAAGCAGCAAATCATTACATGCAACTTGTAAAATTGAGGGAAAAAAATAGTTAATTTGATTTTGACAATAGTTGCCAATTTACTGTATCTCTGTTAATCTATTGATCAATTAATTGCAGCAGTTCTACCTATTTCTTCTACTTCTTCTTTTTTTAGATGAAAGACACAAATCTTGAAGATTCTGATGAGCTCTTTGATTCTACACCAGAGAGTTCAGATGATTACGTTCCAGATACCACTTCCGAAAGTGACGGTGATGTTAGCCTTACACTAAACCAGACAAAACGTCAGCTTCTTGATGAACTGGATGTTGATGAATCTGGCTCAGTGAGTTCCCCTGACTGTGACACAACAACATCAGACAAAATGCACGGCCTTACATCTGAAGCATCTGGAACAGGAGAAGAACCCAGTTCAAGTCAGAACACAACGGACGGCGTAGTTGTTAGTGCATACCAAAAAACAGATGGTGCTAGAGTGTACAACAAGAGACATTACTGCTTGTATTGCACTAAACCTTATGCTAAGATGGCAAGGCATCTAGAAAGTTCACATGAAAATAAGTCTGATGTGGCTAGAGCTCTAAGCTTTCCAAAGGGTTCAAAGGAGAGAAAAAGTCAGCTTGATTATATTCGCAACAGAGGAAACTATGCTCACAATGCTGCTGTTATGGAGTCAGGAAAGGGGGAACTAGTGCCATTTAAACGACCACGTAAAAAAGTGCAGGGAGAAGATTTCATGCATTGTGCATACTGTCAAGGACTTTTTACAAGAAAGGTCCTGTGGAGACATATGCGTACTTGTAGACTTCAACCACAATCAGTCGCCCCCAAACCAGGAAAAAACCGTGTTCAGTCCATGTGTACCTACACCGGGCCTGTGCCTTCAGACATGACCAAACAACTGTGGGGAGTAATCAGTGCCATGAATCCTGACCCAATCACAGATATAATAATAAATGACAGAGCAATTACTGAAATTGGACAGCACTTGTTGAACAAAGGTGGGCTATCAGATAAGAATAAATGTGCGCGGGAGAAGATGCGAGAATTGGGAAGGTTGATTCACAATGCCAGGAGAGTCTCCTCCTTGAAAACACTGGAAGATTGTGTAAATCCAAAGAAATACATGGAGACTGTCAAAGCTGTCAAGTGTACATGTGGGTATGACAGTGAAACCGACAAATTCATGATTCCATCACTTGCAAATAAGCTTGGGAATTCCCTGGTTAAAGTAAGCAAACTCTTAAAGGCCCAGGGCTTAATCTCCAACGACAAACAGCTTGTGATGAATGCCAGTGAGTTTCAAGAAGTCCATGCGAATAAGTGGAACGAGATGATCTCGGCTACAGCGTTGAGGAATATCAGGGAAGCAAAGTGCAATGTGCCCACTCTCATGCCCTTTACTGAAGATGTACAAAAATTGCATACTTTTCTCAGTCAAGTGCAAGACGAGTGGTTCAACCTGCTCTCTGAAAGTCCCTCTACTAAAGCCTGGATGGAGCTGGCCAAGGCATGTCTAGCCCAAATAATTCTCTTTAACCGGCGGAGAGAAGGAGAGGTGGCGAGCATGCCTTTGTCTGCGTTTTTATCAAGAGACACTTCTGATCCGCATGAGGATGTGGACTGGGCACTCTCCGAAGTGGAGAAGAAACTCTGCAGACACTTCACAAGGCTTATCACCAGGGGAAAGCATGGTCGACCTGTTCCAATTCTTCTGACTCCAAAAATGCTGTGTTCCTTAGAACTCCTTGTTAAGCAAAGAGAGGCTTGTGGGGTTTTAAAAGTCAATGCCTATATGTTTGCTAGACCAGACGCCATGACACATTTCCGAGGGTCAGACTGCCTCCGTGGCTTTGCAAAGGTGTGTGGTGCAAAGTGTCCTGAGTCTCTGACATCTACCAGGCTGCAAAAGCATGCTGCAACCCTTTCAACAGTGCTGAACATGACAGACACCGAGATGGACCAGCTGGCAAACTTTCTTGGGCACGACATAAGAATCCATCATGAGGTCTATCGACTCCCTGAGAAGACCCTGCAACTTGCCAAGATCAGCAAAGCTTTAATGGCTCTTGAGCAAGGAAGATTAGCCGAGTTCCATGGAAAGAACTTGAATGAAATTGGGATAACTCCTAATGGTGTGTTATTTTATTAGATAAAAAAAAAAAAAAAACTATTCTTACACC